GGAAAAGGGAATGAATATCCCTCCCTACATGCCTTCTCTCTCTTTCAGGAGCCCCCTCTACATACATAACTCTCTTGTGACCTCCAGGCTAGGTCCCTGGGTACACTGTGCCATTGGCCCAGTCCCAAAATGTGGGGAACTGGATGCAGTGAAGGTGCCAAGCACTTAACCCTCTTCACTACCAAAGTAACTGTCACCCTAAGCCAGTCACCCATTCCCTGGCTTGTTGGTTTACCTTAACAATGACGCATGTACAGTTGTTCCCTAGCAATGGCAACAACTTACATTAGACAGCAAACTACATGCTGGACTAAAATGCACTTTATCTACTCTAACCTACAGTCCCCTTGTTAGCCCTGTTCTTTAGATATGCCATTCAAAGCACCACTTAGAGACTTCAGACCATGCGTTTAAAAGAACACAAACAGTCTTGACTGAAAAAAGGCAAACATATAGGAACATTTCTTGTAAAGCAGCTTCTCACACAAAATCCTGTACAAAATTGCTCTAGTGTCCTTAGGGTAGTCATACCTGTGTAGCAGCAAAGAGCCTTTACAGTCTTTAGAGTCCATGAGGAGGAACGGACTCCATGTAGTCCATGTTTCAGAGTGAGGGGAAAAATTCCAATGGGAAAACATGTTTTGATAACAACTAAGTGGGTATTCCCCTGCTTTCGATAGAACTCCCTGCTGCTAATCATTTCCAGTCTCTTTTATCTACTTCCTATGTAAATTCTCTTTTTCCAGCTTTAGCTGTGCAAGCATTGGGAAGTGGCACATCCAAATTTAGCCTCCACCATAACTGTATCTGTCAGGATGACAACACAGGAGAGCAATTCCAAGAGAGAGACAGAGCATTGTCACTCAATAACAGGAAGTGCCTGAACAAGAAGAACTGACGGGTATTATTTTAATGACATCTGCAAAAACAGATTGAAAGTTACTTTTGAAATTTCATTATGCTGAAAATGATATTGGATTTTAGTGCAGTGGTCTCCAAACTACAACTCATGAGATGGCTATGGCCTGCTGGTTGCAGTAATCCTGCCCGTGCAATAAGAAGGCCCTGCAGATAAACAAGCAATTATTTCATCCTGCATGTGTGGTCATATGACAAGATGTTCTAAATATCACAAGTCCTGGGAAGTTGGCTACAGGTGTGTAGAACTTAAAGGGAAGGTTCACCTTTCATAACATGTTACTAGTGATGGGCCAAACACCCCTCTGCTTGGTTCGCGGTCATAATATAACGAAAGTTTCACCACAAACTTCGAACAGAGGGGGCAAAGTACTAAGCGTTATCTTACCACAACTGAGTAAGATACTGCACAGCCACTAAATACATTCTTTATTGTTTCAGCTGTCAGCGGGGTTCCCTGCGAGTGCCCCCCCTCCTCCTGAACCATACCAGGCCACATGCTCTCAAGATGAGGGGAGTGCTTTGGAGCAGGGGGGCTTCCCCCTCCAAAGCACCTTGTCTACACCTTGATGGGGACAAGGGCCTCTTCCCCACAACCAAGGCCGGTGGTTGTGGAGGTCTGTGGGCAGGGGGAATATCGGAATCTGGAAGCCCCCTTTAACAAGGGGGCCCCAGATCCCGTCCCCCCATGTGAATGAGTATGGGGTACTGCTACCCATTCACCAAAAAAAGTGTAGTGGAAAAATGACAGGAGACAGTCTTTGACAAGTCCTTTATTAAAAACAAAAATTAAAAAAATGTCCCCGAAGTAGATCCAATGTCAATCACGATGCCCGCCACCACCAATAACAATGCACTGTCAGCCCATCAGTTCATAAAGCCCATCCCCACATGTTACATGTTACACCCATATTCAAGGTGTAACATGTTACGATCGGACTGGCTCCTGTACCCCCCTGATCCCCGTTGCAACAGCTAGCGTGGGATCTTGTAGTGAATGAGAACATTACAAGTTCTGACAGCCTTTGTGGGTGTCGGCTTGTAGTTCTCAATGAACTACCATGGCACTGTGATGCACCATGGTAGTTCATTGATTCTTCCTGTCAGTAAGTATCTGCTTGCCCTTACGGAATGTACGAGCAAGCAGATATATTGGCAGGTCAGAGGAAACCTGTATGGCACCAGCAACCTGCTGACCACCGGTGCAATGCTTTAGAGGCTCCAGGAACAAAAAATAATAAATGCACATTTTGTTTACCTGCAAAAAAATGTGCATTTATTATTTTTTGTTAAAAGGTGAACTTTAAAAGAGAAGTTCAGGAATGTAAAAAAGCAAACAATCATACTCACCTAGGTGGATGCAGCATTAATCCGACGCTACATCTGTCTCCCGCCAACTCTTAGACCAAGAACTGAGTGATCAAAGACTGCTGATTGCTTACTTCCTGGTCTTCAGTGAGCAGGAAACAAGCAGTGACTTTCAGCTCTCTGCTCTGTCCCTCTGAAGCACTAGGCTGTGGCTGGCTAAGGATCTCAAAGACTCGCTGAGAGGCTGAACCAGCTACTGGTCCAGGCGACTGGGAGGATCCCAACTTTAAAGCTTTAGCCCGCTGTTGGCTGAAAATGGGTCACAGGAGTGTAGACCAAAGTGTACTCTTGTGATCCATAGGAGGATCACGGTCAAAGTACATATTATTTCTCTTTTCAATATATTTTCCATCCACATAAGGCCTTTCACAGCCATAAAAAAAGTACTGGGGAAAAAAACATTGTGTTTTGTTCTCATGTATTTTTGATGCCCTTTGCTTCAGGCTAGTTGGGGACAGAAGTTACATCCCCATTTCTTCCCTGGTTTGTTTGAAAAGAAGCAGCTATGGTGAGACATGGTTGAAGTCAATGAGCTCCAAGACAAGACTGCTTTATGGATTTAAAGACAAGGAAAGTAAACTTGTTGTCCAGTACAAGTAACCCAATCCCATATTTAATTTTACTTATACAGGTTAAGTAGTGAAAGCTGCAATGTTTTTCTTCTATCACAGTTTAAAAAAAAGAGTTACAATTAAATTTAAAAAATTTTTTTTTAAAGCTGGGTATTGTCATGAGAACATCATGATTTTTGGGGAGGGTACATACACATACACAGTGATGAATATACTGATCCATTGGTCAAAAAAAACAACTTTATTATGATTTTTTTCACTAGAACCCTACCATGGAACTAAACCCACCAATTTACTGTAAGGCCTCTTTCACATGGGTGGATCTGTCAGTGTGATCCACCTGCTCAGTGTGGGATCTCTTTGCCGATCCCTGCTGAGCAGGCGCATGACAGGTCTCTGTCCGCTCTGCTGCTGCAGAGCGGACACAGACACTGCCTGCTGATTTCAATAGGATGCTTAGATGGAAATGGATTGCCTGTCCACTTCCAGCCAATTGTCATCCAATTCGATCCGCAGGACAGATGTGGAACGGATCCCCATCCATCTGCTTTTGGTGTACAGGATCAGATTGGATTGGATGCCGGCGGGTGTGAGCGGACTATTGTCCACTGACACTCCCCGGTCCATAGACATCTATGGATGGACTGCACCTGAAAAATGGAGTCCATCGGTCCACTCATATGAAAGGGAGCCTAACTGTTTCTCAAAACAGTCCAGCAGAAGCAAAAGGAAATACCTGGTCAGGTTGTTGATCTGGAAGATCTTGAAGAACTGTTTTTCAAAGCAGTTACATATAGGGCATGCCGTGAATGATACCTGACACATATACTTGTGCTTTCAACCAAACTGTCAAGGCATCTGATGGCTGGTGTCATAACCGATCACATGTGTAGCATTATGACAACTACAGATCAAACAGAGACTAAGATGGCAACTTCCATGGCTGTAGTTTTGCTCTAACCTCCCCAAATTGTGCTTTGCAATTGTATAAATATGATCAATGTTAACCACTTAAGGACCGCCCTATAGCCGATATACTGCTACAGGGCTGCACCTGTGTGCAGAATCATGTGTATATATACGTCATTTTGTATTTCCAGGTAGGGGGTGCATGTGTGCCGCCATTCGTGGCCGTGGATGTCAATCAACGGGTCCCAGCCGGTAATTACACACCGGCACCGGTAATTACCCACCGGCACCGGTGGGTAATTACCGGCTGGGACCCGGTGATTACCGAGCATCTCCGACGGGGAGGAAGATTGTGTTGTTTACAAACAATCTTTCTCCCTGTCAGCTTGAGCACACTGCTCAGGATGGCTGTGCACAGTACAGCCATCCCAATCAGTGTGCTTACAGTGAAGAAAACACACCCCCTGCCCCCTAGTAAAACGCTCCCAGCACACAGTTAACCGTCTGAGCGCCCTTCACATTAACCCCTTCCTGCCCAGTGCCATTAGTACAGTGTCAGTGCTTTTTTGTATCACTGATTACTGTATTGGTATCAGTGACACCAAGTTAGTCCCCCCCCCCAGTGTCAGAATGTCCGCCGCAGTCCCGCAGTCCAGCTAAAAGATGCTAATCGCTGCCATTACTAGTGGGAAAAAAAATTGCATTATCTATACCGCCATTTGTAAATGCTATAACTTTCATGTAAACCAATTAATTTACGCGTATTGGGATTTTTTTTTAGCAAAGACATGTCACAAAATACATTTTGGCCTAAATTTATGACAAAATTAGATTTTTTTAATTTTTCTTACTGGACATGTTTGATAGCAAAAAAGTCCAAAATATTGGTTGTTTTTTTCAAAATTGTCGGTCTTTTTTTGCTTGTAGCGCAAAAAAAAAAAAAACCCGCACAGGAGATCAAATACCACCGAAGGAAAGCTCAATTCGTGGGAAAAAAAGTGCGTAAATTTTATTTGGGTGCAGCGTTGCTTGACCACACAATTGTCAAAGTAACGCAGCGCCGTAACGCCGTTCTGGCCTGGTCATGAAGTGGGGTAAATCCTCAGGAGGGCAAGTGGTTAAAGCCATAACAAATGAAATCTAATTGGGGTTTCTGTTTGTATTTGTAGGTTAAAACATATGTAGACTACAGCTGCAGAAATGCCTGAACTAAGTGAAAGCTCTTCAGGCAAGATGTTCAACGTTCGCTTTTCAAATGCCATCACATCAGTTTTGTTGGACACCAATGAGCAGACTTGGGAGACAGTACAAGAAAAACCTGAGTCTGAGCTAGCCATACATTTAAAACATCGAGTCCTGTTCCTGGATTCATCTCAGCAGAAGCATAAGAAGATACCTGGTCAGGTTCTTGATCTGGAAGATCTTGAAGAACTGCACTTGGAAAAGAACCAAATTGAAATGATCCCTAAGGAAATCTACAATTTTCATAATATAAAAGTCCTTTACTTGAATAACAATTACATTACTCAGATTTGTGATGAGCTGGGAGAGCTAAAAAAGCTAGAAAGCTTAGACCTTAGTGATAACCCACTTGGCTGGAGATCTCTGGAAATCATAAGTAGACTGCATCAGCTTCGCGAGTTAAGACTGTATAATATAAACCTCAATGAATTTCCAGTTCTGATCTGCAAAAGACTCCATCATTTGCACCTACTGGGGCTCTCCAACAACAGACTTAAATCTCTTCCATCAGAGGTAGTTAATTTAACACAACTTAAAGAAATATATTTACGGAATAATAAATTTGATTTGTTTCCGAAACAAATCTGTCTACTCCAACACCTAGAAATTATTGACCTTGAGGAAAATAGACTGACATCTATACCTGAAGAAATTAGCTCTTTATCTAATCTTATTAAGCTGTTTATCAGTGCAAATAATTTGTCCTTCATTCCAAAGGCTCTCCATTGCTGCACAAAGTTGGCAGTTCTGGATGCTTCTGGCAATCACCTTCAAAAGCTTCCTCATTCACTTAAAGAATTAGGAGACCTAAACGAACTTGGACTGTCAAATAATGGCTTGAAAATCTTACCATCTACAATAACCAAGTTACATTCTGTCTGTGTCCTCTATCTGAAAAATACAGGATTGTCAATGTTAAATGCTAATTTTACGATGCTGGAATTTCTCAAGATACTAGACCTTAGTCAAAACTTTTTTACTGAATTCCCTACTGTAATCTGTGCTCTCAAGCAACTTCAAGTGCTTTCACTAGATGACAACTTAATGAGCTCGGTAAGATGATAGAATCTTATTCCATAATACAATAAAATAGTATAATATAATTTTACAAAATCATAGCTGAGAGATAAATGACATTTCCCTGATATAGCTAAGTGCCATTTTATGGTGTTGTGTTCTATTTTAATTCATTAGGCAATGAAGTTTATGTAAAAAGACCATACAGCCCTGGTAAACATAAAGCACAGTCTCAACATTGCAATATTGCCCTAGTGGCTTTAAATACAATGACCTTTGTTCAGTCTACTGAACTGCTATATTTATGGGTAATTTAACATAACTTGTGAATTTGCATTCAATTGGTTAGAAGCTAATAAAAAAAATAACATAATGATCTCACAAGGAATTTTATGATGTTTATATGTTGTTACACGCAGATAAAAAGGAGAACACAGATGCAACCTTTGAAATTCAAGGGGCTACTCTCTTTCTATAATGAGGATTTAAAAGGTGTAACATTGTTGCTTGTTAATCAGTTTATTAAAAGAAAACAAGCCAACATGTGTCAAGGCTCTGCAACCCCTGAGCAACGGTGTAAATAGTTCTATGTATGTGAGATAAAGTGCAAAACTAACAGGAACACAAATTGGGTGTACTGGATTATGAAATGAGTGCCTTTTTGTGTCAAATGTCTGCCAGATGGACACTCAGGATTATTTCTCTACAAGTCATCCATTTGATTTTTATTATCCAGCATACCTGATTTACTGTATATTCCAGCCATTGTTGCATTTCTTCTCACACATACAGCATGCCTTCACACCAATGCTCAACCCTGACGAAGGGAATGTAGGTCCTCCACTTTCTTATGTTTTCTTTTAATAAATTGAATCACAATCAACAATGTGATACCTTATGAATGCTCATTACAAGATGGGAGAAGCCCCAAGAATTTCGATAAGTTTTTTTAAAGGATTAGTTTGCCTTTTGTAACAAGTTACATGTTACACCCATATTCATGTAACATGTTACAAAAGGACCAGCCCCTGCTCCCGCCCAACCACCTGTTTTGACAGCTAATGGAGTATCTTTTCCCCGCTAGCTGTCAAAATCTAAAAAAAAAAAAACCCGCCCGACCACATCACTCATTCACAGTATTCTGTGAATGGGAAAACTAAAAGTTCTGACAGCCTTTGCAGCTGTTGGCTTGTAGTTCTCAATGAACTACCATGGTGCTGTTGAGCACCATGGTAGCTCAATGATTCTTCCTGTCAGTGAGTATCTTCTTGCCGTACGAGGTATGAGCCAACTGATACACTGACAGGTCTGCAGGAGACCTGCATGGCATTAGCGATCTGCTGATCGCTGGTGCAATGCTTTACAGGCTCCCAAAACAACCAATAGTAAATGCACATTTTTTTGTTAAAATGTGAACTTATCCTTTAGTTTCTCCTGTATCTTCTAAATACAAGACTTAAGACCCTGGAGTTGAAGTTGTTAACTTCGTCCCCCTTTCTGTTCCCCTTTGTTAATATTTGCTTGTTGGATTAGGTATGGGTGTGTTCCTGGGTATTGACTATATAAATGAATATTGTTAAAAACTGTTTTTATTTGAGTGTGTTTTGTTGAGGAAAAACATTTAGAAAATTACCAGTTGGGGTCCTAAAAAAATTATGGCCCTTGATGCAAGAACACAAAATGTTTTGCTTTTGTAATACTGTACTTAATTGATCTACAATATGAACTCCTTAAAGCACTGGGTAATTTGTTACCACTATAAAATACTAAAAGCTTAAAGGAGAAAATGCATCCACATAAACTGTTTTTACCTTTATCTGCTTTTAATCTATTTGCCACCATTTTAAATAGATATGAGATTATAGCCCAACCTCAGCTAAAACTTTTTTTTGCATACAGTGGGTTTTAATTGCCATCTGCATCCCCTCTAGAGCAAAGGAATGAGAAAATTCTCCAATGTGGACAGTGAAAACATTTTTTTTAATTAGAGCAGGGAAATCTTATGCTGGCCATACACTGATCAAAATTTTTTGGCCAGATCAGTAGTGACAAGGCATATTTTGGTGAGGATGGAGCAGTAGTGACAAGGCATATTTTGGTGAGGATGGAGCAGTAGGAACCAGGCAAATTTTTTGTGAGGATGGAGCAGTAGAAACCAGGCATATTTTTTTGGTGAGGATGGAGCAGTAGAAACCAGGCATATTTTGGTGAGGAGGGAGCAGTAGGAACCAGGCATATTTTTTTGGTGAGGATTAAGCAGTAGAAACCAGGCATATTTTGGTGAGTAGTGAGCAGTAGGAACCACCAGGCATATTTTGGTGAGTAGGTAGTGAGCAGTAGAAACCAGGCATATTTTGGTGGGTATGGAGCAGTAGGAACCAGGCATATTTTGGTGAGCATGTAGAGAACTAGGAAGGGCATATTTGGAGCAGTAGGAACCAGGCATATTTTGGTGAGTAGTGAGCAGTAGAACCAGGCATATTTTGGTGGAGTATGGAGCAGTAGGAACCAGGCATATTTTGATAAGAATGGAGCAGTAGGTACCAGGCATATTTTGGTGAGTATGGAGCAGTAGGAACCAGGCATATTTTGATGAGAATGAAGCAGTAGGAACCAGGCATATTTTGGTGAGTATGGAGCAGTAGGAACCAGGCATATTTTGGTGGTGAGAATGGAGCAGTGAGAAGGGACCAGGCATATTTTGATGAGTATGGAGCAGTAGGAACCAGGCATATTTTTGGTGAGAATGGAGCAGTAGAGACCAGGCATATTTTGGTGAGAATGGAGCAGTAGGAAACCAGGCATATTTTGGTGAGTATGAAGCAGTAGGAAACCAATAGGCATATTTTGGTGAGTATGAGAGCAGTAGGAACCAGGCATATTTTGGTGAGTATGGAGCAGTAGGAACCAGGCATATTTTGGTGAGTATGGAGCAGTAGGAACCAGGCATATTTTGGTGAGTATGGAGCAGTAGGAACCAGGCATATTTTGGTGAGTATGGAGCAATAGTAGAACCAGGCATATTTTGAGTGAGAATGGAGCAGTAGGAACCAGGCATATTTTGGTGAGTATGGAGCAGTAGGAACCAGGCATATTTTGGTGAGAATGGAGCAGTAGGAACCAGACATATTTTGGTGAGTATGGTAGCAGTAGGCAACCAGGCATATTTCGATCAGTGTGTGGCCTTCCCCTGTCAGAATACAATGTCCTGATGAAGAAGGGAATTCCTCTATCCACCTTGTTTGTGGAAATAAAGAAATCTTCTTTGAACTTCTAGAACTAGACTAGAACTTTTGTGAGGTTTTCATTGTTATACTGGTACTCCTTTCCCAATGCCCCTTGTGTCTCTGATTTCCAATTGTAATATCACCTTAAGAGAAAGTTTTGACTTGCGTTGGGCTTTATAAAATAGACCTTTCCAAAGCTTGAAGCTGCCTGTGTATTGAAGTTTTTAAACTTAGTAAAAACAAATTTTCTTAATCTAGATTTCACCACAAATAAAATCACTACAAAACCTGAAGCACTTGGGAATAACCGGAAACAGGTTTCCTGCTTTCCCAGAGGAGATCTTCTCCCTGGAATCTTTGGAAAAACTGTACATTGGACAGGATCATGGCACTTCACTTACGAACTTACCAGACAACATATGGATGCTCACGGTGAGGTCTTGTTTGTGGGATTTTTTTCTATTTCATTAAAGCTGGCATTCAGTCTTGCCATCATTGAGTCAACTTAATTTGAAAGCCCTAAAAATGTAATCCAGACTTGCTATTCGATTGGAATCCCAGATGTATTAAACAGGTTTATTTTGTGCTTATAGGCAATCCCTGGGTCACGAACATGATATGATCTGTAGGTTTGTTCTTAAGTTGAATGTAAATTGAAACAGGTAAATTTTTTTTAAGTGTAGCTTAAGCCCAAAAACATTTTTTTAATGTTTTTTTTGGATAGCATAGGGAAGGCTTAACACCCCTGTAATGTTTATTTTGCTGTCTGTGCTTCTGTTCAGAAGATTTCACCTCCCTTTCTGTCCCTGTAACAATTGGATTTTGAAAATTTTGGGTTGTCGTGGAAACAAGGATTGGTGATAAACCTTCAGTGGAGACACCTTTTTCCCATGATAACTCCTACAGGAGTGAATTTCCCTTCTTAGGGGTAGATTTCCTCTCACTTCTTGTTTCTCCCTTCGTTGGTAAGTACCAGTTGTTCGTAACTCGGATGTTCATAATTCGGGGACTGTCTGTACAACATACTTATTACAATATGTGCAATTTGAATGTGAAAAACACACTCATATTTCGATTGAAATTCTACTAATGCATGGCATGACTAACTACTTGACTTCCAAAGGAGTTTATCCCCCTTCATGAACAGGCCATACTTTGCTATTCAGCACTATGCTACTTTAACTGAATTAAATTTATGAAAAGAGTTTTCTTTTGGTGATATTTGATCACCACTGGGTTTTTTTATTTTTTGTTATTTAAACAAAAAAGACCCAAAATTCTGGGAAGAAAAAAAAACATACACTCTTTTCTACTTTCTGTTATAAACATATCCAATAAAATAAAAATAAAATAAAAAAGAGTATAATTATATTATATTATATTATACCCTGCCTTATACCCTGTGACGTCACACCGCATGGCCCCTGTGGATGGCCGGCGGCCATTTTGGAATTCCCTCCTACCAGCTGCTCACTGCACATGTGAGTAGGATTTTTCAGCTATTTGTCTATTTTTCTGTTGTGGATAATAAAGTACTACACTATCAGAACCTTCTGTTGTCTTGGCTCGCTACTTCCGAGCCCCCCCCCCCCCCTTCTTCAAGGCTTATTGGGATGATCTGGTGGCCACATCATGATTGGTTAGACTCCCCCCCCGGTGGCGAGACGACTACACGCCCTCTGATATCTGGTGTCCCTGAGGTTGTGATGTTTGCCCAGCTGATGCAGGCCAGATGACCACTCTGTGATCCAGTTCCAGTTTTCAGTAGCCGGATGACCAGGAGTTGGTTAAATGCGCATTATCATTGCGCTTTCTGGTTAGTGCAATCTACACTCATTTCTGCGGGAGGAATTTGGTCACAGAAGTCACTTATTGTGTCACCTTTTTGTCCTGAAATTCTATATATTATGCACGCAAGAACACTCTTGTTGGAGACTTTTATTCACCATCATTATCATTATTCCTGGACTTTTTAGATAATTTCCAAGATCTATTTTAGTATTAAGTGGTGTTCACTTTACCAGTTATTACATGCACCGTATGATCATTTGCATGCATTATTGTACTTATTAGCGCTGCATGGTTGTTTGATAATAATTGTATATTAATTGGTTAATGTGAAAGTTATACTGTCTACAAACTATGGTATATATACACTATTTGAAAATTATTCAATCCTGATGTACTGATGGTCTATCTAATTTCTTGAGGACCTTAAAATTCCAGGACAGTACAAATGCCCAGAAAATTACCCCTGTTTTGAAAGTGGACAGTCTGAGGTATTTATTAAGAGTCATGGCGAGTTTTTTGAAGTTGTAATTTCTTGTCATGATTTTTTGGAAAATGAGGAAATTAAATAAAAAATCGTTTTTTTTTTTCAGTTTTTTTCATACTGTCACCAATACAGTACAGCGTAGTCATATGATTGGTTAGGCGGTGATCAGGGACACTAAAAGATGACAGTATATAAAAAAAAAAAAGTTTAATTATTTTGTATTCAAATGTTAAAATTTTTATTTTTTTTTTTAAACAATTTGTTTTTATACTATGATTGCTGTTAAAGCGATGACCACTGTAACAGCAATCCTTTGAACTGTCATGAATGAATTTCATTCATAAAAGCTGTGCTTAGTCTAGTGATGCCGTGAGTGGCCCACAGCTGTCATATGGTACAGGGTGCTGTGATTGGCCTAGGTACCACGTGAAAGCTGTGAGCCAATCTCAGCATCACTATAGGAAGCACAGCTGTTATGAATTAAATTCATTCATAATAGCTTTGTTGATATTGTGATCATGTGATCACATAGCAATCACATGTTCCCCTGGCTGCCACTCAAAGTGGCCAGGTACAGGACACCACAATCTGTTATGTCTCGTGGACACAGCGGTTACAGGAGCAATGTGATGCTGATAGCTCCAAAGGGCTCACCAGTGTGCATATGCTCAGCAACGTATATTCAATAAGTACTGTGACGGAAAAGTGGCTAAGAGAAAAACACATATACTCACAAAAAGAGACCAACCAGCCTGTCGGGTTTTTCATGAACGATTAGTGCCGCTGCTATAGTCAGCAATACTAATCATTGTGTTTTTGCCCACAGAGAAGGCTGCCTGAATTCCCTGCCAGCAGGACACAATAGTACTTCAGGAGGGATTCCCCCATCAACACTGACTGTGTTGATGGTAGATTCAAGCAATTTTCTTTCCTTCCACCCGTGGTGGAAGGAAAGAAAATGGCATAATGTATGGCTTCTGAAAGAAGATTTTACCTATGGTTTAGGAAGGGGTTCTTTACACTAAGTGTAGGTAAGTTGTGGAAGAGTATGTAATGGTTTTCTTACAGCTGCTATTATCCATGATTACCATTACTAAAGGCTAAGACAGTGAGTTGGTCATCCTTACCCTAGGGGGAGTCAGGAAGATTTTTTTTTCCTATTGTGTCATACTTGCTCTGGGGCATTGAAACCAAATGGATTGGCATGACAGCCAGACAATTTTCAGAAGCAGATTAGCAATTGCAATCCTTATACTGCTCTCAGCATATTTTTGTACATTTTTGTATTGTCCTTTTTAGCAGATCAACTTGATTTCCTAATAGTAGTAAGCAGTGATTTGCACCCTTTATCTCAAAATTTCTGATATAGCGTCAACTATATTGCTGATTGTGAAAATTACCAGTTGCTCTTATTGTTGAATGTAGAATCTCAGAGAGTTGTACATTGAAAACAACAGTTTGGAATGTCTTCCATCCACACTGAACCAGCTGCAGAACCTCAAAGTTCTGGATTGTCACAGTAACCATCTAAATCATCTACCAGATTCAGTCTGCAAAATCCATGGTAGGTATACCATAATGAAATGGATCTAAATGCACGGATGATTAGCACTTTCCCCTGGCAGTACTAGGGTTGTTGGGTCGAATCCCAGCCACGGCACTACCTGCCTGGAGTTTGCATGTTCTCCCTGTGGTTGCGTGGGTTTCTTCCGGGTACTCCAGTTTCCTCCCACACACCAAAGACATGCTGGTAGGTTAACTGGATCCTGTCTAAGATGGCCCTAGTATGTGTATGAATGTGGGTTAGGGACCTTAGATTGTACACCCCTTGAGGGTTAGGGAGTGATGTGAATGTACAATATATATGTAAAGAGCTGCGTAAATTGACAGCGCTATGTAAGTACCTATAATAAATAACTCAGTTATTCAGCAAAATGACATGCATTTTCCATGTGGACATTTATACAACCAAACTTTGATATTGTATGTAAGTCCTCATGCACACTTTATGTTTTTACAGCTGCTGTTTTTGGCTTTTGACGTTTTTTTTTTACAGCCAGTAAAACCCCAGCATGTTATCCTATGTGTTCATGTACACATAGGCTATAATCAACATTTTTTGGCTGGAAAAAAACCCCAGTACTAGTGGGTTTCTAATGCTGAAAAACAAACCGGCATTATTGGACTGTTTTTGATGAAAAAAAAATGCTAAAACCCGCAAATGCTGGAAAACGCCGCTATACGTGGAAAAACTCCACTAAATGCTAATGCAAAAAAACTAAAAGAAGCTGAAAAACTCATGTTTTTAACATGACTTTACACTGCTAACATTGCCAGTGTTATCAAAACATCCAGTGTGCATGAGGGCTTGCAAATCTTTTTTCCACAAAAGCATTTACCTTGCACACCCACTCCGTAGTACTTGTTCTGTTTTTGTTCGCAGATGACGGATACAAATTTTTCCAAAACGTTTTGCAAATTCTGTTTAGTGCTGAGTTTGTTGCACTGCCCAGAAAAACTGAAATGGATAAGCAGATTTTTGCAAGCCTAAATGTTCTCCTGGTAGAGTTTTGTTTTTGTGGCTTGTGTCTCTCCTTCAGCTGTACCACAGCACCACCAACATGGTTGCCTAAATGCAAGATATCAATAGTAAAAATGTTTAATTGTGACTACGGAAACTTTTGACATTTACCATCAATTCAGTATTAGTTTATAGTGAGTTTTGTTCTGTATGTGGTAAGGCAAGGTGTCTGTGTAGCACTATTAAAAAAGACTTTGTATTGGATTTTTTGGAAGAACTAAGATATTTATTTCTCCACTTTATCATTGTTGTTATCATTATTTGGATCATCTGATGTATTAAGAATTGCTTATATTGTTGGTTTTAGCATTGCCTTTTTTGTAATATAATGGCTACAATAAAACTGACCATAAACTAGTTGATCTGTAATGAGTTTTTTTGTACGAACATTCATATAAAAATTCTTAGAACATTCAATGATTTGACAAATGCCATTTGAAAGTACTTAAAACATTTTTTGCTTTTGAATTATTTGATTTTGGAGTTAATGGACTTTCCTGACTAAAAACCACATACACTGTTAGAAATATATTTGTTAGTGAATTATTTGCCATCCTACTACTTCCAGTTTTCCACAGTTAAATGTAGATTTGACCCCGTTAAAGTGTAACTAAACCCAGGACCCTGCATTCACTATATCTGATCTCCCACAGTACCCGGACTTTGGAAATGCAATTATTTTAGTAAATATAAACTGCTACATACAATTTCTCACCAGCAGTATATAGCAGTCTTGTGACTTCTATCAGTGTCCAGTAGAACACTGGTTTTCATTCTCCCCTGATTGTCCTATGAAGCTCCATAACCCCTGACCCTCTGTCTGGACAGCACTGATTGGCCCTGTGCTAATCACATGCACTCTTCCAAGAAAAAAAACTCTCTAGCAATACACTTAGCAATACTGAGCATGTGCAGCTTGCCCCCAAGACTATGTTCTACCAGCAGATGGATTGGGGACAGTAGGAGAAGGGGATGATTAGAGAAGACAGGATCAAACAACCTTTTTAAACAATGCAGAGGACAAACCCCTTAGGTTCCACAGTGAGTATAATAAGCATGCTTTACTGCATATACAGACTGATTTTACTGTTGTGGGTTTAGTAACACTTTAACCATTAGAAAATTAAATTAACATTCTTGAATCTTAAAATTTTTAATGAAGTTTTGTTAGTGTATGGCCAGCTTTACGTAAAATATAATAGGCTGCTATGGGCACCTTTATGTCCCCTTTGTGCTTAATGATTGCACTGCAAATCTCTTTTAGGTGTATTCAGCAATTCTGTGTTGCAGTGATAAAATAATAAGATCACTGATCAGTCATTTTCTGAAAGTGTTTTTTTTTTTTCTTTCCTTTTCAGAAAGTGTTTTTTTTTCTTTCCTTTTCAGGGTTGCAAAAATTGGTTCTTTACAACAACTCGCTGTCTACTCTACCAGACAATCTAGACATGGTACACACACTTGACCTGCTTTTACTGGATGGGAATCCTATGACTGACCCACCAGTGGAGGTATGCAACCAGGGAAAAGCTGCCGTGTGGGAATACCTTAAAGAAAAGAGGCGCAAAATGCAGATGGCAACAAAGGTAACAACTTCACATGACATTTTGCTGTTTATACAATACTGATAATGATACTATACTCATGAACAGAAGAAAGTTTGCCCTACTTAAAAGAACCCTGTCCTGAGAGATGTGTGAAAGATGCCATTGCTGACCTCTCCTTCTAAAAATGCTACTTACCTATTTGTCATTTTGACCTACCACTTCAAGACTTTGAGTCACTGAACTGGAATAGGTATACAGATAAAGACGTTTGTGATCTGCATACTTGTTTCAGGCCAATGTCTCAGAAAGTATTAAATACTTTTGATCAGCATAACAGCCAAGTGCCTCAAGTGTTGAGGGCAGTAATGACAATCCCATATTTTTCATACTTGTTGCTTTAAGGACATACAGCAGTTTAATTAATTCGCACAAGAATTTCCTGTTATCAGTCAGCACATTGAAGATTAGATGTTCTTTCAATTTTTGTTTGAATTAAATGTGAATGTGTGCTCACACAGGGGCAGCAAATGTTCAGGAGACCAGTTATGTGGCACTTATTTCTTATCCTATCCTAAGTTTTTAGGCAGGCTTACAAGAATGAAATTATAAGGCTTTATAAGACTACCTTTATTTTATATGATGTGCCCAGAACGATGCATTGAACAAGATTTGTGACCATGAAGGCAGTCCAGTAAAAAGTGGCCTTTAGTGGCCATTTCTCTTAAATTCAGACCTACAGTATATTCAACCACAATGTAAAATAAGGAAATTCCCATAGGCAAGTGTTACATGATACACTTACATGCTGACTCTGGAACATGCGGATATTTATGGTGGTTTGAATTATGTGTTCGACTCTTTATTGCAGTTTTGTTGCAGCTTCCTGTCAAATGGATATGAACAGTTGCAAAACAGCAGACTAGCAGTCACATTATAAAGATGGTTGTCAAAAAGCAATTTGTGCCTGTGTCCAGAGATAAATTAGTACTGGTTAAAAAAAAGGTTATACTGTATATAGCTTCTATAGGAAACAATTTAAAATAGAATTTTAATGAGTGAATGAGTAAGACCTCATTCACATGGCAGAGCAATAAAAAAAGGTTACTGATCATTAAAGCAAGGAACAAAGTTCCTGCGTAATAATGCGTATAAAAATCAGTTTTTTATTGCGTACAAATTGTCATGTTCCTTTTTTCATTGGTATGCACATATATCAGTATGTTTGCAGATGCAGATTTTTGGATTTTGTGTTTTAGATCTGAATGCAGTGCATTTTTACACACCTGGGTGAAAGTCTCTATTGAAAACAATGTAACTGCATTCAGATCCTAAAAATGGTTCTAAAGCTAAAAAGTTTTTTACCTTAATGCATTCCTTGCATTAAGGTAAAAAAAAAACATTTTGTATTTCTATGTCCTCCCCCTCCTCTGTGTGAAGATTGCACAGGGCAGAGGAGTAAAAAATGTTTTTTATTTTAATTTTTAAAAAATAGACTTTAGTAACACTTTAAATAAAAACTAGTTGTAAATACATTTTTTTTTTCAGCCTTGTGAATGAGGCCTTATGCGTGCAATGTGCAATGAGCTAAAGTGGTTAGAAGGTGTAAACATTTTTTAACAAAGCATTCCTTGCATTAAGGTAAAACATGTTTAGGTAGCAGTATCTTCCCCCCTTATACTTACCTGAGCCCTCATTCGATCCAGTGCTGTGCCCATCTCTCCCATCATGTACTGATAGTAGTTTGGAGTAACTTGAAGTACTGTAAGTACGTAAGTTGGAGCAAATTGGTGTACTAAATGGTACTGCTCAGATTAGGGTTAATTAATGAGGTTTAACAGTAAACTAAATATAGGATTTAAAAAAAAAATAATATATGACAGGATTGGTGATGAGACTGAGTGCATGTCTTGTTCCATGTATGTGTTCCTTGAAGAACCATTAGAGGGCAAATACTGAGATCTGAGCTAATTGTTTCTCTGGAAGCCCAGATCTTGGATCTAGACTAGAGAATCAGGTGGCAACACTGCGATGCATCAACAACCTGGAGAGAAGCTTGGAAATTACTCAGCAGGTGCTGGTGGGAGCTAGCATAGAGAGGGGGTGGGGATATGGAGGTACAAGAGTCAGAGGTAGGTAGCTGGGTAACAGTTAGAAGGAGAGGTATAGGGAAGAGCCTTAGAGTAGCTAGTCCTGAGTTAGTACATCCTAATAAATATACCAAGTTGTATGATAGGGATATCAGCTCAGGGGTTGCACAGCTGGGGCAAGCCTCCTACCCTAGCTGACAGGAGAATGACTGCTCTGGTAGGGAGGTGGGAAAGGATACAAGCAGGGCTATACAAATACTGGTAGTAGAGGACTCAATTATTAGGACAGATAGGGCAATCTGTCAAAAAGACCATGATCGCCGAACAGTATGTTGTTTACCGGGAGCTCAGGTTCCGCATATCGCGGATCAGATGGACAGATTGTTGGGTGGGGCTGGGGAGAACCCAGCTATCATGGTACATATTGGTACCAATAAACAAGTTAGAGGAAGGTTGAGTGCCCTAGAAAAAGATTTGAGGGGCTATATTAAAGAGAAGGACGTACAAGGTGGTATTCTCAAAGATATTACCTGTGCCTCAAGCCACACCAGGGCAGCAAAAGCTAAGAACTTAACAAGTGGCTAGGGAATTGGTGCAGGAAAGAGGGTTTCGGGTTCCCAGAGAACTGGGCTTACTTCTCAGTCAGTTACTGGCTTTATAGTAGGGACGGACTGCACCTAAATGGGGAGAGTGCTGCTCTGTTGAGGGAGAGGATGGCCAAAAAGTTGGAGGGGCTTTTAAACTAGTTGGCGGGGGAGAGGGGAGGGATCAGATGAAGTGATGGCCAGCAGTGAGCAAAAGTCAGATGGTGCCATAACCATAATATCTAAACCCTGGGTAAGTGGGTTGGCAAAACGAAAATACAGCCACAGAAAAAAATAAGAAGGGAAAAACATGTGCCCGTACAAAACAGAGGGATGTATGCAAATACTAGGAGCCTAGCAGGCAAAATGGAAGAACTTGGCCCTACTGATACAAGATGAGGATTTCAACGTCATGGGAATATCAGAAACTGGGTTGGACAGCTCACATGACTGGCTGACAACTATTCAGGGTTATTCCTTGTATCGGAGGGACAGGGTTGTGCCTGTATATCAAGAATGATTTGCTAGTGAACGTGAGGTAGGACATTGCAAACAGGAAAAGGGAGGAGGTGGAGTCCCTGTGGTTGGATCTTCAAAAGAGAAGAAACTAGCGGGAAAAGAATAGTGGGGGTATGCTACAGGCCCCTTAATCTGAAGGATGAGGAGGAGCTGGATCTACTATCACAGTTAGAAATGTCAGCGAGGCAGGGCAATTTTATGATAATGGGGGGGGGCTTTAACTATCCAGACATTGACTGGGCAGAAGGAACAACTCACTCATTTAAGGCTGGTCATTTCTTAAATGTCTTACAGAACAACTTCATGTGCCAATTGGTGGATGCCCCAACTAGAAAAAGTGCATTACTAGATCTATTAATTACAGATAATAAATATCAGGTCGCAGATGTTGAAATAGGGGACAGCTTGGGAACCAGTGGTCACAGGATAATAACATTCAGCATAAATCATGGGATAAGAAGGCACATAGGTCAGGGCTTGAAATTTCCACTCACCTGCTCGCCAATGGCGAGTGAAAATTATGGTGGGGGCAAGTGTGTCCCCCAGGGCCATCATGCTGAGCAGGCTTGGAGCTCAGACCGGATCTGTCATTGGCACTGGGAGCCGTCAGACTGCTCAATAGCGGAGCACAGTGAAAGCAAAGGAAGGAGTGTGTGCTGTGCTCTCTGCCTCCCCCTAGAGTGCAGTACCCAGCTCTGTGTGTGAACAACAAAGTACGGCAACTTTTTATGGGTGGGGGGTGGTGTGTGTTTGTACGTGTAGATGTGTGTGTGTGTCTGTGTATGCATGTACATGTGTGTATCTGTACATGTGTCTGCGTGTATGTACATGTATGTGTACAAGTGCCTGTGTGCATGTACATGTGTCTGTGTGTATGTACGTACATGTGTCTGTGTGTCTCTACGTGCCTGTGTGTGTATAGATGTGTCTGTATCTGTGTGTGTGTGTGTACATGTGTCTCTGTGCGTGTATGTATGTACACGTGTGTGTGTGTGTGTGTGTGTGTGTGTGTGTGTGTGTGTACGTACAGGTGTCTCCGTTTGTGTGTGTTTGTTGGTGGCGAGTAACTCTTAAGGCTTGGCTAGTAGCTCAGGACTTGAAATTAAGCCCTGAGTCATAGGTAGTACAAGAACAGTAAATTTAAAAATGCCAACTTTTCTAAACTGAGAACAATACTTCAAGATATTAAATGGGATCAAATCCTAGAAACATTGAACACTGAGGAAAAATGGGAGTACTTTAGGAACATATTAAATAAAAGTATCATCCAGTGTATTCCAATGGGAAATAAATATAAAAGAGAGAAGGTTAAACCTGGGTGGCTAAACTGTAATGTAAAAAGAAATATTAAAGAGAAAAAAATGGCCTTTAGAAAATATAAGGCAGAGGGGTCATTGTCGGCATTTAAACACAAGGAATACAATAAGAAATGTAAGTACACAGAGTGGCTAAAATAGACCACGAGACACAAAGGTGTAAACAAAAAAAAAAAAAAATCCCAAAAATGTTTTTACGTATATTACCAAAAACAAATGATAAGGAGAAGGCAACTGTACTAAATGCACAATGCTCCTCTGTTTTCAAAAGAAATGGAGGGGTATTGTAGTCAAGATTGCATCATTAGTAATGCATCATAGAATATACCCTTGTGGCTGACAAAAGCCAGTGTCCGAAAAAGACTTGAAAAGCATAACACAAATACGTCACCAGGACCAGATGACTTACAACAGAGAGTCCTCAAAGAAATAGCCAAGTTATAGCCAGGCCATTATTCCTAATTTTTATGGGCAGTATACTGACAGGAATGGTACCAGATGATTGTGAAGGGCCAAAAGTGGTTCCAGTATTTTAAAAAGGGCAGAGATAAATTCCTGGAATCTACAAGCCAGTCAGTCTAACATTGATAGTATGTAAACTATTGGAGGGGATGATAAGGGTCCATAGCCACAAATTTGCTGCGGAAAACAGTATCATTAGTAGTAATCAGCATGGCTTTACGAAGTGTTGTTCTTGCCAATCCAATCTATTAACATTCTAGGAGGAAGTGTGTTGCCACCTAGATAAAGGAAGACTGGTGGATTTGGTATATCTGGATTATGCAAAAGCATTCAATACAGTCCCCCATAAACAATTTACAAACTGAGGTCTGTAGGCATGGACCATAGGGTTTGCACATGGATTGGAAATGGATTACAGGGGCGCTTCCAAAGGGTAGTATTAAATAGCATATACTCAGACTGGTCTGGAGTGGTAAGTGAGGTACCCCAAGGCTCTATACTGGGACCAATTTTGTTTAATTTATTCATAAATGCTATAAAGCCTGGCATAACTAGGTCAATCTCAGTGTTTGCAGATGATACAAAGCTAAGGAGGGTAATAACCTCACAACAGGATACAGAAACTCTGCAAGAAATCCTCAATAAAATGAAGGAGTGGGCAGATACATGGCAAATTAGGTTTAATGTTGAAAAATGTAAAGTATTGCACTTGGGGGCTAAAAATATGAATACAAGATATTCGCTAGGGCTAGAACTTCTGGGGGAGTCCAGGAAAGAAAAAGATCTGGGGGTCCTAGTAGATGACAGACTCAGCAATGGCATACAATGTCAAGCTGCAGCAAGCAAAGCTAGCAGAATATTAGCATACATTAAAAAGGGAATTTACTCAAGAGATAAAATTATAATCCTGCCACTTTATAAAACTGGGGCTCAGCCACATCTAGAGTATGCCATGCAGTTCTGATCACCAGTCATCAGAAAGGTTGTGCTGGAACTGGAGAGAGTCCAAAGAAGGGCAACAAAGTTAATAAGAAGATTGAAGGACCTCAATTACGAGGAACGACTACAAACATTACACACAAACAAAAACACCTGTGCTCGATTGGCTCCCCCTATACAAAATAGCTGCTGTAATACACACAATTATGTGTAAACCAAATGTAGCCCACAATATACAGCTCTTACATATACATTTTGAGCGAATAATCAATTTTATGTTTTCTATGTGAGTTTTAATAAAGAGCATTTTACACTACTGGAGTCTCCTTTTCCCTTTTAATACATGATACCTCTGGCGAAGTCACAAGTGAGGAGCATGGTGGAGTGACATACTGGAGTGGAGGACCCTATACTGTATTTACAAATAAGTGCATATAGACCAGCTCTTAATTGAGAAGGTAATGGTTGTCTGGTGAGTTCTCAGTAGTGGTGGTGGCACACGGAGGTGGAGTGGAGCACAAGGAGCAGAATTGGAAGTGGTGGAGTTGCATGAAGCACCATATTTACACAGAGAATTTATATATCATTGTACTTTTTCGTGAAAGAACTGTTGCACTTTATATACAATGTATTAATTTGAAGGATATATACATAAAGTACTTTATATATTTAAGCCACAAGTGTGTATGTGTGTGTGTATATGTATGTATATATATATATATATATATATATATATATATATATATATATATATAAATATAATAAAATATTTTATTTTTTATTTTATTTTTTTTGCTCTTTATATTTATGTAGGCGCTGTATATTGTGGGCTACAAACATTAAATGTATTCTCCCTGGAGAAGAGATGCTTGAGAGGGGAAATGATGGTGATATACAAATATCTTAATGGTGATTCTTGCATAGAGAATAAACTATTCAGTCTCAGGGAGGGTAAGAAGACACAGGGCCAATCATTGAAATTGGAGAAGAAGCGGTTTAACCTTAAACTACGTAAGGGTGTTTTTTCACTGTCAGAGAAGTAAGGATGTGGAACTCATTCCACAATAAGTGGTATCAGCACTGATAGTTCCAAAGAACTCTTGGATGGGCTTCATAGAGAACACAGCAATCAAGAATATGAGTTTTAACATGAACACATACACACACCCATTCTGGATGGACTGGTGTCTTTATTCAACCTTACCATTACCTCCCACTGCTGTCAATCAAAGACAGTGATGCAGGAGCTGGGTGGATTCCCACTGTCTGTGTATATAGAATCAGAAAGCAGGAATCTTGAGTGAGCCCACATGAGTGTCCACATAGGAAATGGCTTCCTATGGGAGGGGGGTCACTCACCAGAGAAGAGGTGCCAGAATTGCCAGTGGGGGACCTGAGATAAGCAGCTCTGTGCACTTCTACTGCACAGAGCAGGTAAGTGTAAACCTATAAAATAACCTGTTATTTTTTTGCAAATTGCATTTACAATCACTTTCATTACAGTTACCTCTGTTCTCTCCTGTCCAAGACACAACACAGTGAAAACCCCATGGTGAGTGCAGCCCACTACATCTGGCCCCTGTGCATTTTAGGAATTGAAGTAGTCCAAATAGGACACTAGGTTCTGGTGACACATAAGGATTCCCGTATAGTGGAGTACTTTCCTCTCAATTCCTGTTGAGGTTCTGGGAAAGGAAATCTTCCCAATGTGACACAGACAGCGAAAACAAAACTGACAGGGGTTATATCCCTACCTTACTGTATCCAAAAAAGGTTCTCTTGAATTCTACTTAAGGTTTCTTTGAGGTGTCATCATGTAATAATTGGATGGAGGAGTGATTTCCAGCACTAATGTAGTAAAGTACAATGCTTATGTAATGTCATTGTATCCGTATTATACCAGTATAAAGAGAAGAGAAAAGCAATGATTTGCCAGGTTTAGTAGTTGCCAGGTGTAGTAGTTGCACTGGCTAGTGGGCCCTTCAGAGTCGATACTATGAGGAGGTGATAGGTGGTACAGCCTCCCCAAAAAATATATATTTTTATATCAAAAAAGAATATTGTGCCTTATACAAATGTTTTATTAAACATTGTTTGTTTTTTCTTTAGTAATGGTTCCCACCTAGTGAAGGTACAGTGCTCCTCCATCTGATCAGTGTCTGAAGCTAGCACTGGATCCTTCAACTTGCATGGGGTGCAGACTGCTAAACGTATGGTAGTGACTTAAAGAATCTGCATATCAATCCTATTTTCTTATATCTTCATTGCAGATTCAAGCATTGTGGCGTGGGATAATGGTACGGAAAGGTCTTGGGTCCTATTCCTACCTTCCTCAGATCGGGAAAAAAAACAGATCAAAGAAGGATAAGAAAGCAAAGGGAAAAGGCAAGAAAGGTGTTGTGAAAGGAAAAAAGAAGTAACAGTGCATGGCTATCTCACAGAACTGAGAGGCTGTCCTGTTGTTATGGAAACATACTGACAGCAGAACCTTAGTGAGCATAAACTTTGCAAGGTACAGACTGCATGATTCCCAGATACAATGGATGGAAGTGATCAAACCAGTTTCTCCTGTGACATTAAAGGTCTTTGTTATACAAGACATTCCACACTGTGCTAACACAAGCTTACTTTACCACCAACATACAATTCACATGCAATGCCACACTCTCAGGTTGCTATATTTATTTCTTTTTGTGTTCACCATGAAAAAAATCTGCACAGGGTGTAAATAACAAAAATGTATTGGATCCAACAGTCCATCAAACAGTACAGATTGTGCTTTGAATAAATTCAACATAAACACGAATGCAAATCTGTGTTATTTATCCAATTACAAAAGTGCAATTAATTTTTTAGCCTCACATAATCTACTACGTGTCAGTAAAACAATGTACAGCATTAGTGTCTCCATATTAATGTGTAAATGTGAACTAGCTATAGTAAGAATACAAGCAGGTGGCGTGCACACAGTGTTTGTCCATCGCCCTTCCATCCCAGAGGAAAAACATGGAGAAAGCCTTTAAATCAGTCATAGTGAATACTGATGTTATTTTCCTTGCAGAGTCGGTTGAGTTGCTGCTGTTCTGCTGTTGATAGAGTCCAACGCTGCATTCCCAGTTCTTTCAGCAGGGGCAGCTTAGGTATATTGGATATTAAGTGAATGAACCATGGACCACAGTCACGGGCAGAAGCTGGCCTTAAGCTAATATCTAGTTCAGCTATGTTCTTCAGAGCAGGGACACTCTCAAATAATAAGGACCAGGCTTCATCAGGTACAGTGTCATTGTAGGCCACGTCCAGCTGCTGTAAGCTGTCCAGATGACTGGCTTGTGCTGCTGATGCTGCAAGACATAAAAATCACTGCTATCAATATTGAAGAACATTTTACGGAGATAATAGTACAGTTGAGTTAAAGTTTTAGTAGCGGTGTTTACATTCAGGTGTGTAAAAAAGTTGACATGGGGTATTCATTTTCACAATCTAAATTAAATGGAGATATGTCATATGGCAAACTAAGTAGGTATGTATAAGTGCATCATCTATAATCAGGAAAGACATTGTACCAATTCCACCTGTAAAATAGGTGTATAAAAAAAAAAAAAAAAAGTCTTTGCTTTCCAGAGCTGTTGGAGCAAGATTCCTGTTTGCCATTGAATATAATGGCAAAGAGCAGATTTTCTTGAACAATTTGCTAAAGACCAATCAATCAAAGATGGAGCTGTTTGGTCACATTAAAAAGTAGATAGGTTTGCTACAAACTGAAGAAAATATTTTAGAAAAACTACCCCACAACAACTGTGACACATGGTGGTGGAAATGTTATAGTTTTCTTTGCTGCTTCAGGGTCTGGGCAGTTCAGTATCATTGAGTCACCCGTATCATATAATCAGAAATGAGTCTTTCAACATGATAATCTGAAACACACTAGCAGATTTACCAAGGAAGTCTTGAAAGAAAGAAATAGGGGTTATGGGCTGCCCTGATCAAAGCCGTAATTTGAATCTCATTTACATTTTGTGTGTGCGTGTTTTTGTGGTGTATGTGTGTGTGTGGGGGGGGTTTGAAATGGGCAATTCATGCAAGGAAATCCACCATTTTGAAACTGAAGAATTTTTACATGAATAATGGTTACAAAGTAGACTTTACTTCCACTTTAAACTTTAAAAGTTGTATTTACAGGAAAGCTTATAATAATGCTTACCTGTAGGTACAATGAACATCATCTAAACATGCACTGTTTGGGAGATATTCACACAGCATGAAGCCAGTGATGTCACCGTTGCATGCGCTCTGAAGGGAAGGCATAGCACGCCAGACCTTCAGAGCCCCGTGCCGCAGCCAAGGGCTCCAATGCGCATGAATGGGATTGACGTCATCGCGGCTCCGGCCATTCAAACCTAGAAGGAGGACCAGGTGAAGATGAAAGTGCCGGGGAGCCGTGACAATGTGGAGCTGGAAGGCTCTGTGTACAGGTAAGTCTGTCTTAATGTACATTATGACCTAAACCCATGGGGGGGGGAATTGTGTGTTTTTTCCCCACAGACAGTTTACTACCACTTTAAATTGCGGAGACTAGTGGACAGTTATACTAGATGCCTACAAGAAGTAATTTCTGTTACAGGGCAAAACTAACTTTTGATGCCAAGAACGTACTTACTTTTAATACAGTACATCATTCCATCTCTTGGTATTTTTGTTAAATCATAGATTGAAAAAGGCAGTTCTCATCTACACACTCCCTAAGGAAGTTCTAATCAATGCCAGCTAGAAGTAGTAATAATTGTAGGGGTGCACGCACTTTTTTCATGTGACAAATCTGCATTTTTGCTAATTTTTGCTAATTTAGATCATGAAAATCAATACACCATGTCAATTTTATGTGTCCTTTATTCAAATATGTTGATAAAGTCAACAATTTCCCTAAGGTGTACTTAATTTTTCAAATGACTGTATGTCAGCTATGTAGCTCACATAGCATAAAAACCCCATTTTTTATATACATTTTATTTTGTCCAGTTAATTACTTTATTACAATAGTGCCCCAATCTGCCTTTGTGCCATTCACAGGTTCTTTTTGTACTTTTATGCAGAGTTTAAAGGAGAAGTATGGCCAAATCTCTTTTGGATCACATGAGCGTTTTTCATTCTGCACTCCTAAAGCCCGCTGTCAGATGACATCACAAAGTCAGTACAGACTGACAGGATCCCAACAATAATTTCAGGATAACATTGAAATAAGTAAATCCCCCTGTTAAAGAGTCATATGCTTGTTACACACCATCAGGTTTTTTTTTGCTCAACTAAGCGGCTGAAAAAACCCCATAAAATGAAAGAGCTTAGTACAGCGATCTCCCCGCTAATCCATTATGTTCTGACAGAGAGAGTGCCCCCCCAGAACAAACCAGTCGGCGCTGGCAGCTATCGGCTGCCAGCACTGATCGGATGCCAATCAGATGCTGGTTTTCCAGCATGACTGTTCGACAGAAGCCGGCCATTCGTTCGGCTTCTTTCAGAAAGGCGGGTGTACACATGGATATTGCCGAATGTGTGTACAGGGCTTAAATAGTTGAAATTGGGTTTCAGAATAGTTTTATATCAGAAGCAGGTATATTTACCTAAAGCTGCCAGGTCCTGTGTAATCAGATTGCAGCTGCTCAGTAGCAGGCTTTGGAGAAAATTAGCATTGCTCAAAGTTTCTGTAAGTAGTTTCAGATTTCCTCCAACACACTTATTCCAGGATAGGTCCAGCATTTGCAGGTCTGTTAGATAACGTGCAGCTTCAGCTGGAGGTCATTAAAATTTAAGAGAAGAGAAAATTACACAAAGTCCACCAAAAACAATGTTGTCACCTCTCTAAAGCCAAATCAATCCATATTGCTTTTAGCAAGCACAGAAGTAACATTTCCTTTGTATAACATTCTACATTTTTTTTTAAATGCTCCAATAATTATTTTTTTGTACAGCCTGCAGGCTGAAAATGTGTGCCCAGCCTTCATCTTCACATTGCAATATGACGGAGCACAGCAGGGTATCCCTGCAATGTGCCTCTCTAGTGATTAGTGGGCTCACTGTGCAATAGCAAGAATCCTTTGCCAATACACCTATTATAGCTTATGAAAGCATTTTTAACATGATAAAATAACATTTCAGGCAGCATGGATGCTCATTGATATGCTGCACTGATGGGCTGCCCTGATAATCAGAGCATTGGTGAGCAGTACCCTGATTATCAGTGTAAATGTGTGCCGTTACAAGATTGCCAGGTATTGGCTTTCCTTTCCTCACACAGTGACAGCATTGAGGAAAAGCTGATAACTGCCATTTGTTTACATGTGATCAGCTGTGATTGGACACAGCTGATCATATGGTAAAGGGCTTCTGTGATTGGCCCTTTATTTCGATCTGTGATCAGCTGTGTACAAAAGGACAGCAATCACAGAGCGTGCCCGATGCACACTCCAGGGGTGAGCAGGGGGGGCGTCTAAAGAAGACCTCCCAGCACTAGACAACCATGCTGTAGCCATCTTTCGACTATAGCCCAGTAGGCAAGTGGTTAAAGCCTAACACTAACTCTTCTTAAAAGTGCTCCTTCCCACTTTTCCTACCTATCCTGCCTATGGGTTAAAAGGGATTTGTATACTTATATTATACTCTTTTTTTTTTTTTTTTTTTTTTTTAACTCTGCTCTGGTCTAGTAACATGAGGGGAGGGAAAGGAGGAAGAGCCAACAACAACTTGCACATGGGAGCCTATGGGTGATATCACGGCTCCTGGAATTCCCAGGATACAGGGGAGCCAGAACTGCAGGATCACGCGACCAGACTGAAAAAAATTTAAATATACAGATACACTTTACACAGTGTAAGTAGGATATGTGGAAGAAGGGGGAGGGAACATTTGTAAGCATAGTTCGCATCAGACTTTAATTCCTTTTTAGGTCCATCTCTATGCCCTGCAGAGGTAACCCAATACTTCCTGTACCCGAGTCTGATCAGGAGTGTACACAATTTGTTTCTGAATGTTCAGCAGCATGCATAACCAGAAACGGTATGCATATACATGATACATGCCACATGTTTGTAGTCCAATATGTGCATATGTATCATTTTCAGATCAGAAACATTTGAAATTACACATTCACAATGCCAGCCAATGACAGTCTCAGGATGAACAACCACCAATCAGTTCCAGGACTAAAGTTTTAAAGAAATGTAAATGTTCTGTTTCTTTGATTGGATTATACCTTACATTCGCTTTAAAACAAAAGTGAAAAAAAAAAAAATAACATAGTACAATTTCTATAAGGCATGTTTTTACTCTACCCTGCAAGACAAATGATGTAATGAGGTACAAAACCATACCCAGTCCTGCAAAGGATTCTCTCTTTAACATGCAATTGCTGACATTAACAGACTTGAGCTTTGGCAGAAAACGCAATCGGCTGAAGAGGTGCTCAGGAGAAAGTCCTACAGTTTTATTTGAAGACATGTCCAGCACTTGAAGATTGGACAGCAGAGGTATGACCTGGGCTGAAACACAAAAACACATTTTCAACTTTAAAATTGGCAGCCCACACTTTCATTAAGATCTGTGTTTAAAGGAAAATAAGTTGAATACACAGAAATATATACAGTACATGAGAACTACTCTACCTGGCAAAGTCTGTATTTCTGTCCATCTAGTTCTGGGATTCACACAGCCCTTTCACACTGTACAGTCACCTGACAGGGCAGGGGACTGGATTATTATCTGCTGCATTTAAAAATACATGCAGAGCTCATCTATCCTCCATCCTGTGACTAGACAGTGAAATGAGAAGCAGCACACTGATGATCTCTGTCACTCACTTTCATCCTTCTATCAGCATGCTCTTTGCAAGCACATGCGCAGTGAAGCACAAATGAGAGGCTGGTACCAAGTCAAATTTTAAAACTGGCCAAAATTCAAAATAGTGGGTCCCTGTCTGTCCCCTGCCACCTAACATCCCTCAACTGATAAATCAAAGTAACCAGGTGAAAAATGGTCAGCCAAATAGTGGGTGCATGCATTTAAATGCAGTGGGAGATGCAACCATTCAAGCTGTGTAGTGTGAATGAAGGAATAGGTTAGATTTTTTTGGAAAAAAATATATATGGTTTAGCCAGCTTTGGACTGCTTGCATAAAAATACATTAAAGTGATTGTAAAGGCATATACTGTATACACTATATTGCCAAAAGTATTGGAACGCCCCTCCAAATCATTGGATTCAGGTGTTCCAATCACCTCCGTGGCCATATATGTATGAAATCAAGCACCTAGGCATGCAGACTGCTTCTACAAATATTTGTGAATGAATGGGTCGCTCTCAGGAGTTAAGTGAATTCAAGCGTGGTACCGTGAGAGGTTACCACCTGTGCAATAAGTCCATCCATGAAATTTCCTTGCTACTAAATATTCCACGGTCAACTGTTAGTGGTATTATAACAAAGTAAAAGCAACTGTGAACAGCAGCAACTCAGCCACAAAGTGGTAGGTCACATGAAATGACAGAGCAGGGTCAGCGCATGCTGAAGCACACAGTACGCAGAAGTCACCAACTGTCTGCAGAGTCAAGAGCCAAAGACCTCCAAACTTCACGTGGCCTTAAGATTAGCACAACAGTGCATAGAGAACTTCATGGAATGGGTTTCCATGGCCGAGCAGCTGCATCAAAGCCTTACATCACCAATTGCAATGCAAAGTGTTAGATGCAGTGCTGTAAAGCATGCACTAGACTTTAGAGCAGTGGAGATGTGTTCTCAGGAGTGACAAATCACGCTTCTCTGTCTGGCAATCTGATGGACGTGTCTGAATTTAGCGGTTGCCATGAGAATAGTACTTGCCTGACTGCATTGTGCCAAATGTAAGGTTTGGTGGGGGGGGGGGTTATGGTGTGGGGTTGTTTTTTTAGGGGTTGGGCTTGGTCCCTTAATTCCACTGCAAGGAACTCTTAAGGGGTCAGCATAACAAGGCATTTTGGACAATTTCATGCTCCAGACTTTGTGGGAACAGTTTGAGGATGGCCCCTTCCTGTTCCAACATGACTGCGCATAAGTGCACAAAGCAAGGTCCATAAAGACATGGATGAGCGAGTTTGGGGTGGAGGAACTTGACAGGCCTGCACAGAGTCTTGACCTCAACCCGACAGAACACCTTTGGGATGAATTAGAGCGGAGACTGAGAGCCAGAGCTTCGTGTTTTTATGGGTGCAGGAAACTAGGCACCCTCTTCCGTATTTGGTGGTCATCGGCTTTGGTGGCCCAAAGGCTCTGCGATTCTGGACTTGGATCTATTCCATGATCAGATCAGTTTTAAAAGTCTCCCTGGTATGCGATCCCTGGGAGGTTCTGCTGCACAAGCCAATCCTATCTCTGACTAAGGCATAAAAAGGAAGCTGGTGGAGTTTGTGTTTCTGGCAGCCCAGCAGACTCTTGCAAAGGCCTTGTACCAAAGTTTCTCAACTTTGCTGAAGTCAGATAGTGACTCATGGGAACCATGGTCCAAGAGAAGCTCACTTCTATACTGACCCATTCCCAATGCAATTTTTAAAAAAATGTGGGACCCATCGATATCCTACAATGATCATTTCAACTTTGAACATTCTTTAATCTTCATTCGATTGGGCAGCCTCTTTGCGGAGTTATGGCCTGAACAGTGTGGGAACCTGTCCTTATCCCCACCCTTTTCTTAGGCAAATCCCCTTTTACCCCTTCCCTTTCTTTACTGCCCTTGAAGGTCTTTCAGGTGGAGGCTTTCTATTCTTCCCCTCCTCTCCTTTCCTTTGACTGTAGCCAATTTCCCTCTTTTTCCACTTAATCTAGGCCACCACCTTCGTCAAATGCCTATGTTTACTGGCCCACCCTCTGCTTTATACCATTGTCAGCCTTTGGGCTTGTCTGTAATCTTTATAGCTGGTGACGCTACTTTATGTACCATTTTCTCATTTTGATGGAAATGTTATTATGTATCTGCCTTGGACATTTCTTTTTTCCTTTTTCTCATGTTGTGTTATTTTGTTCATGTTTTGTATATCTCTGATGCAAAATGTGTAAATCAATAAAAACATTTGTAAAATAAAAAATAAAATATTACTTAGTGCAGCAACATCATCACCAGAAAGACAGCACTGGTGAATATCAAGTAGCTCCAACTGTTTGAAAGAGGTTAGACGAGCTGCTGAATCTCTGAATCCTCCTCCGCTGCCTTATTGCAAGAAAGGTCCAACTTCCTTAAATATGGCCAATACTGGAATGCAGAACCTGCAAAATTAGAAACAAATAACATCATTATGATGAATACTGTATGTCAGATTTTCCTAAATATAGCAGTCATATAGTTTACTATTCTACTAACTTCTCCAGAGCTTGCAGAATATTTGATCTGTATGGCATGACTGCCCCCCTCTCAAAAAACACATGTCCTATGATAGACAATTCCAGATACATATTACATAGTTACTCTGGCTGAAAAAAGACAAAAATCTATCCAGTTCAACCATAAAAAAAAAAAAAAAAAAAAAAAAAGTTATAATCCTACACCCACAGTTGATCCAGAGGAAGGCAAAAAAAAAAAAAAAACACCAGCAAAACATCATCCAATTTGCTCCTACAGGGGAAAGAAATTCCTTCTTGATCCCCCGAGAAGTAATCGAATATTCCCTGGATCAACTTTACCTATAAATGTTAGTTTCCAGTTATATTCTGTGTATCCAAGAAAGAATACAGGCCTTTTTTAAAGCAATCCACTGAGCTGGTCACAACCAATTATTGATGGAGTCTATTCCACATCTCTTGCTTGTAGAAACCTTTCCGTGTTTGTAGATTACATTTCTTTTCCTCCAGACGTAAAGAGTGCCCCCTTGTCCTCTCTGATGACCTCAGGGTGAATAGCTCTACATCGAGTTCACTATATGAACCACTGATGTATTTATACATGTTGATCATATCTCCCCTTAATCTCCTCTTCTCAAGAGAATAAATTCAGTTCTTCTAATCTTTCCACATTGCTGAGCTCCTCCATGCCTCTTATCAGTTTGGTTGCCCTTCTCTGTACTTTCTCCAGTTCCCCAATGTTCTTTTTGTGAATTGGTGTCCAAAACTGAACTGCATATTCCAGATGAGGTTTTACTAATGATTTATACAGGGGTACAATGATATCTCTCTCTCTAGAGTCTTTTAATACAAGAGAGGCTTTTGCTCGCTTTAGAAACCACAGCTTGGCATTGCATGCCATCATTAAAGCTTGTGATCTACCAGAACGCCCAGATCCTTCTTCACCATTGATTCCCCCAGTTATACCCCCCCCCGGCCTAGTATGTATGATGCATGCATATTCTTAGCCCCCAAGTGCATAACCTTACATTTATCAACATTAAACCTCTTTTGCCACATAGTTGCCCAATTAAACAGTGCATTGAGGTCAGCTTGTAAGTTGAAGACATCCTGTAAGGACGTTATTCTACTGCACAGCTTGGTGTCATCTGCAAAGACTGAAATGATATTTTTAATCCTAGACCCTATATCGTTTAGAAATATATTTAAAAGAAAGGGTCCCAACACTGAACCTTGGGGTACACCACTGACAACCCTAGACTATTCAGACTATGAATCATTATCCACCACAATCTGCAATCTGTCGTTCGTTTTCCATTTTTGCAGCCTTTATTTCCTTTTTGCATATTCTGTTATATACTTTGTAATGTTTAAATGATGATAGCATTCCTTCATTTTTGTATTTGATAAAAGCTCTTATTATCTATAGCTTTTTTAAACTTTGTCCGTAAGCCACATAGGTTTGATTTTTAGCTTTTAAACTTGTTGCCCATGGGAATATATTTTGCAGTGTGTTCTCATACAGTCATTTTGAAGAACTCCCATTTCTGTGTTGTGTTCATTGATGCCAATATTCCCTCCCAGTCTAAGTCTTGGAGAGTAGCTCTCAGCCTTGGAAAATTAGCTTTTCTTAAAATTGAGCGTTTTTATTTTTTCTGTATGTGCTTGCTGTTTACAGCTAACAAATGAAATCATGTTATGGTCACTGCTACCCAGATGTTTTTATATGGACATTCGTAATAAGCTCTGCATGGTTTGAGATTACCAGGTCCAGCAGAGCATCATTCCTAGTTGGGGTCTCTATGAACTGTACCATACTCTGCTTTTAAAATCTACAAAAAACACTATCCACTATATCTAACTTGGCAAAGCTTTGAAGTTTACTTAAAATTTTTACATATTATAACAAAACCTCCCAACCACTGTATGATGTATACATATAAATTGTATACAGCATATAAACTGTATACAAATAAAGAACCTATGCACAATACTTTGTGAAACGTTTGTTTTTACAGCCTATATTTTTTCTAGGTATTTATACAGTCAGTAAGCCCTTGTCCCATTTTGACGTCTGCTTTTTTTACAACTATTTTGGTTTTTAATCCATTATATTGCAACACTCTTATAATAGAGGTGTACCAAGACGTTGATAAAAAAAAACCGTTCACATGCATAGTATGGCACTGCTAAATGAAAGTAGTTACTTTTTTTACTTAACGATTTCTCTTTAAGTTCAGAAGCCATGCATCACATTGACACTTTGCTTCGAAAATACAGTCCATTTGTTCACAAAATTTCATAGACTGCTTCACCTTTCCAGTATGGGAGAAAGTTCAATATCTTAGGAATTTTAGGAATGAAAAAAACATCTGGCATAAGGCTCTCAAAATAAGGTATAAGAAAATGAGGCTAACAAAGCTTTACCCAAGCCTAAGGTGCTCTATTTTTAGCCATAAGTCTGCAATTTCCAATCTCATTTGGCTCAAACTGTCCCTTTTAAAAAAATAATTATCTTTATTCTGGTGTGTTAACTTTGAGAATTGGGTTTATGGCATAAACGCTTCAGTGCACAATTTTTTAAGCCAAACTCGGGGTTTTGGGCACCCCAGTGATGTCATTAACCATATTTGGTCACCACCCCTTTGACCTGTCATTCGGCAGGAGTGAAGTGACGGGACCAGATGAGTAGGTGGACTGCATTTTTTTTTTTCTGGCGAGTTGGTGGACATGGAACATTATTGTTTACATGCTTCTACATTTCTAAGTGATATTATTGACAGTGGATGTACATTGTAGAACATTTTTTGTGTGTTTTTTTTATTAAAGGATTTTTTGTTTCATTTCTGTGTTTATGTTCAAATGGAGATTTTTACAAAAAAAAAAAAACAAAAGAAGATTTGCAACACCCTGTGAGAAATGTACTATTGCAGCTCAACAAGTCAGCATGACAATATTTTAGATACTAGGAATTTGTAATCATCCAAAAACCATAATAAATAGAAAGCCACCATGTAGGTATAACAGGCACAGGGGCATGATACAGAATATTCTCAATAACCAGTTTTTTGCAATAAAATAATCTGTCACAGAGATAATAAACCAAAAGGTGCGAAGAAAGTGGAGAAATATAGAAAAGGAAAGCAAAACAGGAATTTAAAAGAAAAAAAAAAAAAAAAAAAAAAAAAAAAAGAGAGAAAGAAGAGAGACACCTTAAAAGGACTGGAAAGCTCCACTCAATGTACAGTATAACT